GGACACGTTCATTTTCGCCCAGAGGCGTTTCTTCGTTGGTGTCGCTTGCTGAAAGTTCCAGTCGATGGCCACCTCCACGGGAAAGTGATCTGAGTCACAGTCCAAATGCTTGGCAATCTTGCAGTGAATTGTGCGCGATGCCAAATCTCCGTTGCGAATGTCAAGTCAATTGTTGAGTCTCCATCTTTCCATCGATGCGTGACGGTGCCTGGCACTGTGAGGAGCTGAAGCTGGAAGGTTTCCACGATTGTTAACAGCTCTTCTGCTCTCGATCTTGCCACCCCTCGCTGGTGTCGCGCTGACCACAGCGGGTGATGCAAGTTAAAGTCACCAAGAACAATCGATTCGTGATCTTGACCCAGTCCGTCCAGGGCATTTGCCAAGGTTGACAGTGTGGCTGTTCCCACCTCGTTGTACACATTCCATATGTGAATTGGTTTGTCATTGTCAGGGCTGCGGATGGTGAGGGATATGATGTCTGCTGAAATATAGGACACCTGCCACGTGCTAGGGCTGGTGCGCTTATTGATGTAGAGGCACGCTCTCGTCGCCGGGTTGTCGAGGTACATGAGCTGGAAGTGCGTTTTCAGCGGGTGGTACGATGTGTTGATAAAATGGTTGCGCCAGGGTTCTTGGATCGCTATGATGTCGTACTCTGCGATCCTCCTGTTCTGGAAGAGGCTTGCGAGAACGACGTCCCCGGATTTCCTGACGTTGTACTGTAAGATGCGTAGCGTGCGATGTCCTACCATGCGAGTCGTGTTTCGCTGGTACTATCTGTGACGGACTGGCTCCTGGTGATTCGAGCTGCTGGTTGGCGTGGGGGTGACTCCGTGTGGCGTCTGCGTGTCCAGGCCGGTGTCGTGGCTCCCCAACGATTCCGCTTTTCCACAACGATGGAGACGCCTTTGCGCTCGTATTTCTTTCTCATGTGCTTTCGCAGCTCAGCCGTCGTTTCAAAATCCTTCCCACAGTACGTGCATGCCTTCATGCAGCGGGCAATCGTCAGTTCAGCGTTGTGCGTAGGCCAGTTGCTATAGATCTCTTGATGCTCAGCGCAGGTACACGCTTTATAAATCTGGCCCTGAGCCGTGCGAGTGTCTGTCACCACGGATGTGAGTGGGGAGGAATCATCTTCAGCCTCGTCCAACCAGTTGTTGTCTAAGCCAATTCGCCGCAGCCAGTCGTCTGCTTCCCGTGTAGAGAAACCGAGAGTTCGTTTGTTTTATTCATAGACTGTCCCAGCCGCCTCGTGGCAGCTATGCAGCGTACGGCTATTAATACAGGTGCTCCCAAGTTCCGGGGGGTCTGTCTCTCCTACAGGAAGCTAAGCTTGCCAGGCGGTTCCTGCAAAAGAGACTTTTCCCTGTCAATCGACGGGATCTATAGTTGCCCTCTACCAATAGCTATTCTGCATGTTCTGTGTCTCTGACTTGTCAGGCCCTTCCCGGCCTTCCTGAGCTTCTGTATAACCAAAACCACTCGTCTGCGCCGTGTTTTATAAGTACTGTAGACAAGGCCGACTGGATACACCCAGAGAGCCCGTCCTGATGTTGCTTTGTTTTTTATACTGCTACCTCTGGGGTGCCGAGCGCACGGCTGCCTTGAGGTAGTCTTTTGATTGTGTGCGCTGCATGAAGTGTGGATGTTCTTGTATGAAAGTACATGAAGTGTAAGGGGCATGCTCGTTGATATTTCTCGGGGCTGTGCTTGCTCACGGCAACCTAGATAACATCAGCAGCTGGACGCGTCGCAAATGTGTCCTTTGCATAAATGGTGTGCTAGGATGTAGGCCAGCTGTGCTAGTTGCAGTATGTAAGGTGCCTTGAACAGGAAAACTGAGCTGTTGGTGGTGTTTGTAAACGAGAAGAAAGTAAAAGAAAGAAAACAAAAAGAAAAGAGAAGAAAAAAAAAATAGAAACAAAATTTAGGCAAGATTGCCCGTTCCATTTCACGTCTCCTTCGTGTACTTGTCAACCTCTGATACCGTAGACGATTGTCGGCAGGACGAATGGAGCAACCAAATCCATTCTCCATCGTGGGGCATACTGGAGCAGGGTCATCACTCCCCTAACAGTACTGTGGCTGTAATATGTGGTGTCTCGTGAGGTCCAGATAGTTGATTTTCGACGGCTTTGACGCGTCATTGACGGAGAATAATGCTGTTCTTGGATATGTATTCTGTGTTGGTGTTGGCGGCGTTCGTACCCGTCGCTCCGATTACGCGTCTCCATCGCGTCTTTCACGACCGTACGATGCCGTAAACTCTTGTCGGGCAAGAAAACGAGTCGCCAAGCTCATTTTCCATCGAATGGCGTACGCGATCAGGGTCGACACTCCCTCCCACGTGCTGTGGCTGTAATGTTTTGTAGTCGGACATTGGCATGTTGACGCGTCGTCGAACGGCGGGTTCCTGTAATGTCGCCGCGGCTCGCTCCCAGAGGCCCAAAGACAACCAAGCAGTCTCTTTAAAGGTTCTGGAGGATTTTCCGCGTGAATTGTCGCCGGAATCAGCTCTGCAATGGAATATGAACTCTCCAAAGTTCTTCCATTGTGCTGTTACCGTCGCGATAGTGGTCCATAGTAAAGGTGTAGCAATGTCACCTGTAAACGCGTCGCCCCACTAACAGGTGCTAACAGCACCAAGTGGGGAAAATTGTTTACAGGAGAGTTTCAAAAATGTACAGCACCCGGTGTTCGCTGGTCGTCACCGACCCAACTACTAATCTGGCGCTCAAGCGATTATCTATCGGAGATCGGACGGGACGTTTTCCCCCAAGGAACGACAATTAGCCGGCCTTACTCCGAGGCCCACTATAGTCCCGTTACCGTCCGGAACGGTTTGCTCGAAGAGCCCAGGCAACACCTCCGGGGCCGGCGCCGGTCTACAGAATCGACAGCACCTTAGCGCCGGACCCCCCTCTGCTCTGGGACACGGCCATGGGGGCCAACACACCCCCCTCCGCCAGTTGCTCTGCATTGCTGGCGCCTGCAAGCAGGGGGCCACGGAACGTGACGAGTGGCACGGCCACCTCTCTCTAAATAGGCATGCGCCCCCTCGTCCCCTCCTGGTGTGCGCGCCTTTTTTCTTTCCCAGTTCTTATTCCTGTGAGCGTCGACGTTTGCACTCATTATATCTATCACTGCAAAAGATGACTCGTGACGATGCCAACGCATCATGGCCCATTGTGCGGCCGCGAGCTCGGGAAATCGACCCAGCCAAGCTACTTACACTCTCCCTGGACATCTTGAGGCAGCACGAAGACAACCCTATTGACCCGGTCGAGTTCGAAGCCGCCAAAACAAAGCAATTCCGCAATAGCGTTTGGGGGCGCTGGCATGAGTAAGTGTACGTATGCAAGCACTTGGCATCAGGCTAACGCCCGCTAGGTTCGCAAAAATTATGTCCTTTGACCCGTCCCAAGTCTGGATTGATCTGTGCTACCGAAGAGACACGGCAAAGAGCTACTGCCGGACCTTTCTAGAAGTTTATGTCTCCACCTCGACGGTCAGACGGCCATGCTTGGGGCCTGAGGAGTGGCACGATGTCCGCACCGTCAACGCAGCAGCCACAGTACAGGATGTTTGGGCTGCGCTTGTGAAGAGAGCTGATCAGCAGGTTCTACTACCACTGAGACAGGGCTGCAACCCAATGCAGGCTGGCATTTATGATTTAGGTTTCTCTTCAAGGAACAATTCGAGCCGAAGCGGCCCTGCATACGAAGTTGCCGACGTAAGGAGCAATATCATACGCCAGAACGAATTTCGCTGACTACCGCATCAGTGGATTCCAATGCTTGCCGAAAAGATTGGGCTTTCTTTGACGCAGGGGTTTGAAAAGAGGGAGCTATCGGACGAGGACATAGTGCTGATCCTTCACACAGTCTGGAGCCGAGCCGAGCATATTCAATGCACTCCCGACGTACGCCTTGCATTCCACGCCGCCGTTATTATAATTGGAATCGGTGGTTTTCGATCGGCAAGTGTTCTTGGAATGAAATACAAAGATGTCTCCTTTGCTTGGACCCGCGATATAGCGAATCCACTGAAAACAAACCTCGTCGCCACTATTACGATACACCACGTCAAGCTCAGAAAATACAAGGTCCAAAGAGACCAACGTTCTCAGTACGCATCTCACTTCCACATACATATAGTCGCTGACATATGGCAGGCTCAAATTCTCCATAACCTTCGTTCCGTGCAGACAAGTGTGTCTGCTTACCGCACTGGCTACGAGAGCGCTTCGCGACAACGCTTTCAAGGGCGGCTACACATCCATCGACCAGCTTTTACCAGAGAAGCCATTGGACCATGACTACGTACCGTTGCACTGGAAAAGCTCCGTTCTCGACGCGAAAATTGTGCCATGCTCATACAGGTCGTTCTGGAAAGTGTGGAATCGGACCCTGTATGTGGCTGGCCTTCGCAATGACGATAACATTCGGCCATACGCGCTACGGGTGGGAGCTGGCGGCCGCCTTGACGGTATGGACGGACCTCTTAAGCCTCGGGCTAGTCAAGTCTGGGAAGCTAATCATTCACTCTCCACAGGTTCACTGACCCGAGCCTTGTCTAACTACATCATGTCACACACCACTGAGGTGTTCGAGCGGAGCTACCAGGCTCGGCATCTCACGGCGAACCTGATGAGAATTGCATTCGATAGCCGTGCAGGCGACAATGATCGAATGATTCGCAGTCTGAGCAGTGCATTTTCTCGTCGTGACCCAGATGCACCAATTTACGTCTCGACAGATGAGCTGGCCGCATTTGAGGAAAGAAAAGACATCCAGACCCTTCGGCAGCTGCATAAAGAAACGTTCAAGAAAGAGCCACATAAGGCAACCGCTATCAAGAACCAAATACGATACTTGCTCGACTGCTTAGAGAAATTAAAGTTACAAGAAATCCGTCGCAAATACTTTGATACGGTCGACAATCTACGGGGCAGGCATGAGTCAACAGAACATCTGGATCCGCAGCTTACGGAGAACCCCCGAAGCGCAAGAGAAGTGCCATCTTTTCAAAGGGCTGTTTTAAGCGGCAAATTCATGCGGGAAAACGCCAGTGTCGTGACACTTGGTGAGAGTTTGATTGCATATCTGGAGGAACGGCCAACAAAACTTTGCCCTCCGGTTTCCAAGCCACCACCACCAAAGTCCGCCAATGTGATGGATATGAGGTGTCTTCTCTGCTGCGTCCCGTTCGCCACTGTAGCAACGCTATCACGGCACGTCAGCACCGCGCATTCCTTCGATGAACCATTTAATTGCCCAGAGTGCGAGCGAAACGGTGTTTTGGTACAGGTGGAGCAGAGTTGCATCTCGTGGGCAAGCCATGTGAAGGCTTACCACAAGCAATTTATTGCCCCAAGCGTTGCGGTCTCTCTCAAGCCAGCATATTGTCCGCTGTGCGCGAAATGTTTCACTGAGCGAGGATTCAGCTTGCACTTCCGTCAGGCACACAAGGACAAGCTCTCATACCCATTCGCCTGCCCTGAATGCGACAGGGAAGGCATTCATGATTCTATGATCTGTAGCTTTGATGCGTGGGGGTTCCATGTGCAAAACACCCATGATGGCGGCGACACGGCATTTGGGGCTATTGTAGGAAAAAGAGGCATTAAGCGAGCCGCTTCTACAGCAGATGATAACGCGCTAGGACGCAAGGTGCGAAAGGAGTCAGCTAAGATACCATCCTAATTATGTTCTGTATATAAAGCGGTCTTACATTAGGACCACCCTGGTACATCACCAAGGATCTCTGTAGGCAGAAACCATAAAGCTTTCTTCGCGCGACAGACAGTTAGCTTAAATAAAAAGTGATTACAGGTGGCACAACGCGCCGCTCGCTGATGTTCCAGGTGAATCGTTTTATATTACGTGGCCGATTAAGAATCACAACACATTGACGCACTTCTATCATTTCAAAATTTTGCTTTCAAGTAGTAGGAGGCCAGTATCGGACCAGCTATTAATCGCCCGCTAATATCTACTATTGCCAAGGTGCTGATAAACAGCACAAATTTTTCTTTTGCAATCGCCATTGCAAAGCGTCTTTGATAAGCAGTCTTGCATCTATTTACGCAGAGGAAATTTCCAGTAGCGCTGCCTAGTAAAGTTCAAATCGTTCATCTTCACACAACCGGGGTTGAAATGGTCCTCGTCATTTCCTATTGGCCACATTGCAGCAAACATGATCTCATCTGGTAGACAGGGGCTGATCTTTTTCATTTCGCTCCAACCCAACTTTTTGGTGAGCCGTCGAAGCTCATGACGACCTTTCTTGACTGCATCGCGTAGTTCTTCGGTTGAGTTTGCCGTATTGATTCGAAAGCCTCCGGATTTTGTGTCTGGTGACGCCTTCAGCAAAGCTGCCCTGACAGAGAACAGTACTGTGCAAATGTCGCGGGTAACAGTCTCTATAGCCAGATGTATCAATTTGTCCTCAGTTTCCCATAGATCTCTGAGCTTTGTCGAGGGCAGCAGAAAGTGTTCCGTACATTGTAGAACTTCTTCAGTAATGGACACTTCACCACGGTCTATTGGGCTGTCTACCGCGGGAAGTGATGAAGTATCGCCGGGTCGTCTTGGGGCGTCCACATAGGTCAGAGTTGCCGATTCGATTTCTTCAATAAAATTATACAATGAGCAGTTCGGAGACGTCAATAGAATAAATCGTCTGGAAAAGCGTTTAACAATCATGTCTGTTGTAGCTTGCCAATCAACCGTGAACCGTCGCGGCAACGTACAGGCATGCGACACTTGGCTCTTAATTGCTCTCAATTCAGGCTGCTTGACAGAGCTGAACCGAGGCAACTCGGGCCGATCAGGATCAGCATTTGTAAGATTGATTGGAAACAGCCAACCGGACACCATTGAAGAAAAGTCAATTCTGAGGCGTTCGGCGCCAATGCCGTCGTAGTGCTCAGCGGCGGCCCTGAACACTTCGAATATCTGTTGTCCCTCATCGCTGAGCTTATCTTGGGGGTAGAATGTGCGGCGCGCAGAAAGGAAGCTGACTCCCGCACTGAAATCACAGTAGACAAGCTCGAAGCCCCCTTCCATCCTAACGAAGCCATCATAGCCCCAGTCTGTGAGCATCTCACAAATCATGCTGGCTCTCTTATCTTCGCCGAAAGGGAAGCTATCCGATAGATTGCCTATCTTGTCTTCGCAAAGGACGAGGTCCTGCGAGTCAAGAGTGCCCATGGTGGTCTTGGCGGCGGCCATGCCGTCTAGGTAGAGGACACGGAGATCGCGAGACGCCTGGTATGTGTGAAAATATCCACGAATGTTTCGGCAACCTCCTGAGGGACACTCTGGAACAGAAGCTGGGCCGGCCGGATGGCCATGACTGGAGTCTTCAGCGGCATCGCCGCGGTGATGAGATGGGGCGCCGATGAGTACGGGCTTTTGCGCTGGAGCTTGGTTAGTCAGCCCGCCTTGGACCCTTCTAGTTGTGCCAGAAGATCTCAGACGAGACACCGCGAAGAGCTCAGCATGCTCTACATCGAATGCTAGCCACTCTGGATGTGTTGGCGGCTGATCGGTGTGGTCGCCATGGTAGAGCAGTGTTCCGGCTGGAACTATCGCTGGGAAGAAACCAACGCCGTTGTGGGCCAGAGAGGAACCCCATTGCCTCCCAGCGCTGTTAAGCTGGTTGAAGATGTGGTGTGCATTATCTATAGCGCTAGCGGAGCTCGGCAGCATTGTGCGGGTATAGTCGTTATGGACCATGTAGCCGCTCGAGGCGACAGCTTGGGCGCGTACTGCTGCCGCGAGAACAGCGAGCAGGTTGATGGCAGTTGTTCGAATCATCATAGCACTAAACAGTATAAGCATAGTATTTCGGTTAGTTTGTGCAACAAAGCGGTTGGGAGAGGGGTTGTTGTGAAGGGATGCGGCTAGCACGACGGTATGTTGCTCCATTCTCCCGGGCGGCTTGCCGTTTATATTTCTAATGATACAGGCGATGCCTGTTTTTGGTAGGACATAATAGCGAGTACATATTGATACCGCTGTCCCCGGACTGGTGCACACATGCGCTGCGGGGCAGCGCCGCCACATTTACTAAAATAGTCTCTCCGAACAGCAGGCAGCAAGACACTTATAATTTCTACCGTGCTTCTCAAAGCCGCAGCACCGTTTTGACACCCAGAATGGCCGACCAATTGGTGACTGTTGGAGCCACCTCACCTATCTGCGTTATTGCAGAAAGGACGTTATCTGCCAGCTGGGACATCGAATCTGTGCAAATCAGACTTCGACAATTGTCGTTGCGCAATTCAAGCATGGTGCAAGAGCGCCACCAGATCCATAAGAAAACTAATCGGTGATGGACATAAGATTAGTACCACCGGCGAGCTACCAGTAGATATAGCTTCCGGATAATACTGACAAAGGTTTAAAAACCTACCCATCTTACCTAGAAACATCATCACCTAGACGCTGCCCAGGACACGGGCTTGAGTGTCTCGTGTTAACCCAAGTTAGACAGAAAAGAAAAGAAAAGCGGCAGGTGTCTCATGACGTGGAACGCAGCCGTCACTTCAAAGGCAGTAGCCTAAGTCGCTATCCACACGATATCTGACAAGCTAAGGAAATACCTGTCTAGATTGCATTGGCTGAGATTCGTGGGCGGACTGCCTTGCTCGATATTTGTCAACGAAGCAAAAGTAAAGACTTCCTGTCAACCAAGCAAAACAACTTGCTTCTATTACTTGGCTTTACTTGGCTTACTTGACATGCTTGCCAAATAGGGCATAGCGCATTACTTCGACTTGTCTGCGCGCTCTGATTGGCTGCGAGAACTTAGTGCATCTAGCTCTCAAATTTCTTGCCCTAGTTCCTCAACACTTAATCACCTTACTCCATGCTAACGCCCAGATTTAAGCCAGGTCAACAGCCCTGATGTGGAAGTGGAAGATCCGTTAAAGTGATAAATTACCCACGCGGCTGACTTTCCACATATTTTTCAAAAATGGCCTTGATTTGTTCCGTTGCCTAGCAATAAGCGCCGAGTGTGAGCGGGTATTCTCACAGATAAGAAAGGTCATCACTGACGAACGGAATCGTCTCTAATCGGATACTGTTATAGCGATTAAATGCTAGAAACACCTTTCGGACTTGTATTTTACCATGAAAGGGCCTATTTGGGAATAGCGTTAAGTAGTCAACCAAGTAAGGACTTTTTGGTGACCAGCGCTGTTTCACGCGGTCGGTTTGGCGAGCAATGCCTACGAGAGACCTATTTGCCGACGGCTTTGCGGGGGCAAAGAAGATGACCTACACACCACCACGCACTGCGATTTTGGGCCAAAGGATACCCACGAGCATCTCCGGCAGGCAATTTTCGATGTTGGCGTCGAGCGCATCGATCACGGCCTGGATGTGGTCGACAAAAGGGCGCTGATGGAGGGGCAGATGGAAAAGGGTATCGGTCTGACACTGTGTCCGCATGCCTACTACAGAAGAACAGCTACCGAGGTATGGTTCTCAGGCTGAGACAGCTTCTGGATCGCGGTGTCACGTTTTTGCCTAAACAGTGACGATCCAGTGTACATGCACGACGTGTGAGTCGACGGCAACATGGAAAAAGATACATCACTATTGTGGTTTGAGCAAGAGAGATATGTTTCAGCTGGCAAGAAATCCAGTCGACATGTGCTGGGCGAATGCGCATGTAAAAAGGAACATCTACGACATGCTACATGGTATACATATTGATTGAGTTATGGAATTACACGATGAGTAGGTCAGCGTTGTAATCTGTGGGCAAGTAGTAATGAGTGTAAAAAAATCGCTCTACAGCTAGAACTGCAATTTTCGTTCGAATACTCGTGCGTTTGAAACCAAATTCTTTTCCCAGTCTCCTCATCAGTGGTCATGTGCGCAGCATTATCATTCGTTCTTGCTCTCTGAGTCTCCGACCATACGTATTGATCAAGTGACACGCGGAAACGCACAACAGAGCTTGATCATCACTTCGTGTTGGATGGTCTAGCTAGCCCACAACCCCTACAATGCATCATCAGTTACCCCCCTCACAATTGGGCAATTGCTCATCGATCCTGCCGCCGGCCGCCTGGCGCCCTCATCTCGACTTTTTTTTTTCAGAATTAGAACATCATCGTTATCATCGTGTCTTAGTAGACGCTCTAAGAATCCGACTCCTTAGAAGGAGTAACAGCCGACAGATTTTATATCGTCTAGGGATGTAGAACCGGAAACATAGCTGCATGGTAGGTAGGTAGTTTGCAATGCGACTCCAACGTTCAGGGATGGGCGCGGCGCTAGCTGCGGCGCCGCACTGTTCACACCCACCAGCCTCAGCGCATCAGGGCCTTTTGCCCACCAAACAAACGACCCCGAGTCACCAGCCCGTTCGGCACCAGCCTGTCGAGCGAATCGGCACCAGAAGAGCATCGTTTCTTCTTTTCCTAGAGAAGCCAAAGAGCACTAAATACAAAGCCAAAGAGCACCAGAGCAAGCCAGAAAGCACTAGATAAAGAGCAACAGCTAAAGAGCACTAGCTAAAGAGAAATGTCTAATCAAAGGCCCTTTTTATTATTAGCAACTAGGACGTTGCTTTTTCAAAGGGCGGCATATGGTTACGGTGTGGTCTAGCCAGCCCACAACCTCCACGATACATAATCAGTCATCCCCTCACACCTCGGCCCTGTGACCTCTGGTAGATCTGCCAAGGGCAGCACTAGCCACCTCGCGCCGTAGATTGTACTTTGTGTCGGGCCGAATTCTGCTGTGCCACAAGACGCAAACTTCATGTAATCTTTTGGCCTAACTCAGGACTTGCAGCATGTGCTGTCTTCCTACCTCAGCCGCAGAGACGTTGTAATATGGCCAAAAAACAGCTACCACGTGCATGCATAAGCATGCCACTCCAATGTTGCGTAAGCACTGGGCCACGGAAATGCTGGGTTCTTCTCAAACACTCGACAAGATTCTTTGTCAAGCATTAGAGCCAGGTTCCAGTACCGGCGGGCGCCATTTGCCTCTACATGGATATCCACTGACATCTAAGCATAAAAAGAAACAAAGAAAGAAACAAATGAGTCGATGAGCGACAATTATAAAGGGGTCAGTTGTGCTTTCAGAGGAGATTAATGCATTACTCCAACAGACTAAGGACTCTCAGAGGATTGCACTGCGAAATGCATCCTGCTCTTTTTGGATATCTGACTGGCACCATCGCCGTCTCGACGGTAGCTGCAAGCATTATCACCCCGCAAAAGGCCATCAATCCTGTCAAGTTGGACATTCCTGTCACTATCCTCGCCGACACAAACAGAGATGGTCATGTTGACGAACTCGACATATACGGAAAGCACGCGTGGACTACTCATCGCGGCGCCATATTTCTGCCAAATATTGGCGACGAGCTTCATCGCTGTCACGTGTACGATGCCGTCGGAACGCCACTTAGCAATCGGGAACTCGCAGCCTGTAACGACGCCGCGGGGGATATGCTGATCAACAGTACCCTGGCAGCACCGGTCAAGACCCTCCCGCTGGCCGGTTTGTCAGAGAATGCGACTGCCAGAATTTTTGTGCAGCCACTATCGGCCTCTGAGCATGTTCGCCTGTTCTGGAAGCATCAAAATGGCGACAGCCCATCTCACTGGGCAGCTGTGAAGCCTGAACTGCTGTTCAACAGCACAGCTTTGTCTGCGGGGCTGACTCTCGCCGTTGACGCAAGGCACCTGGTCAGCGACAAAGTTATATGGGACGGACAAGTCGATATTGAGTTCGAAGTCACGGATGGGATGCGGAGCGGCAGTGACTTTGTCGCTATGAGGCAAGCGCCTGTCCTCTTGCATCACCATCGCCAGAGCATGGACGCAGTTGTTACACTGCAGACCGAGGAGTCAAAATGGCAAGGCGCATTCGTGAACTCTCTCAGAGACGTCATTCACGAGCTCGCACCCGCGGTTCCCCTGGTATTACTAAATAACAGCCGTGACATCTGGGCGCAAGACTTCATGGAGCCAGCCTTTGCCAGCATGCCTGGCCGGCATGGCCCTATATCTATCAGAGTGTTACTGCGGTCGGCGCAGTCAAGTCGACCTGATGGCCGTCTGGTCTTTGAGAAACTACGGGGAGCTGGTGTGGGCGGCTGGCAGCCGGGATCGGGATCCGGCTTTGGGTGGGAAGAGATCAACTCCGGCGGCAACATTGAAACAATCCCGCCATACACTTCTCGCTCTGGTGTTTCCTATAGAAACGGACGGATTGTTCTGGGCAAACACTTTGATAAGCATCCGGCCACGTCACTGACTAAGTTTCTTAAGGCGCAGCGTGAGCAGACGCCGCTCTACCTGGAGGCAGGGTGGCTGGTAGCCGGCCATATTGACGAGCTAGTCCAGTTTCTGCCGCACAATAATACAATCGGATTTCGTGTGGCCGTGCCTGATACACGCTCTGCGATGCGTATCCTCAAGCGCATCAGCGAGACTGGCCATGGCGCCGTGCCGTTCCTTACCTATAAGGGAGACATAACGAACGACCCGTGGGCAATATTCGCCGACCATAACTTACCTAATAAGACGGTCGAGACGCTACTTTTAGAAGAGGACTTTGCTAAGACGAATGAGTATGCTCAGAAATTCATTGACCGCAATGTCGAGCTACTCCTTGAGGAGCTGCCCATCAGCGACGCAGATGTCCTGCGCGTGCCTGCTCTTTGGCGAGATATGACATACGACTGGGTTGCCAGCCCGGACGGATTTCCAGCACGTTTTCATCACACCATGCCCGGTGAGAGGCAGCTTCAAAGCTTCTTCCCTCTGGCGGTCAACGGTCTTGTACTAGACCATCATTATATTGCCCCGAAGCCGTTTGGTCCCCGAGCGGATGGTGTTGACGTATTTGAGCGTGAGATACGTAAGGTGTATATGGACGCCGGCTTTAATGTGGTTTTTATAGATGATTACATGTCTCATCACGTTCGTGGAGGAGAAGTTCACTGTGGAACAAATTCTTTACGGCGCACTGACATCGAGTGGTGGAAGACTAGTTAACTCATAGTTTCTCGCTTATGGCAAGTCTCATGTTCGATTTAAAGTTATGAAATCCCATACAGACAACCCTAATGTTAATGAAAACCGTCTAGACTTTTGTAGAGTGATTGAAGTACCAGAAGCAACGGAGCCCAAGACAAATCCCGTGGACGTTGCAGTGCGGCGAAGATCTTGCACGGATTTAGGAAAGCCTCCGTTACACAGAATGAATAGGACGATCCCAATTTCCCTTGCGCTGATAATGCACATTTTTAGAGCCAATCCGCCATACCAATAGATGTCATGCTGCTGATCCCCAAGAAAGGTTTGCCCTTATGATGGCTCGCGTCGGACTATAAGAATTCTCCATTGTACGCAAGCTTTTTGGCCCCGTTGACGGAATGAAAGGCAAAGAGAAACGCGATCAGATCTTGAAGCTCGTTTGCGGCCACATTGGCAAGGCGTGAAAGTCAGAAACCAGCGCTGCGCTGTCCCGGCTTCCGCCAAAATCCGGGGTCACGAGGTAGCCCAGGAAATCGGATGGGGCTATTAAGGCGCTACTATCCCACGACCGTAGACATTCCACGTGCACAGTGCCAAGACGGATACCGCCATGAGACCGCAGGTTTCCGCGGTAAGTAGGCTTTTACTGTTTCTTCTTTTCCTCGATGTATTACACTATACCTAGACTTTTCAAGTCCAGTTCCCCAAGTCTTTGTCTTCCCGCGCCGACACCATTATGCGGAGAGCATGTCTTATCTGCGCCAACTGTGTGGGCGGCAGGCAGCAGATTGATGATGGCTTTTTCTAGAGGTCCATGCTGGCGTTGGAAGTTGCAGCTGTGAGAGTTGTTGCTTTCCAACTTAAGTTCCGATTTCACAAACTCTTCATCTGTTAATACACCCGATTCGTACTGTACAGTAATTTTTGACCCTACAGTTGCTAAATAGGCAGCTCTCATTGGTCGTTCTGGACCCTGTTTAACGCTGTGATTCTACATTGGGCCTGCAGCCTCAGCGCCCTGGGTGGGGAGGAGACTAACGATGAATATTGATGGGGGAAATGTTCCGTTGAAGCAGGTAACTGCAACGCACGTAGAAACAAAGTGATCCCAGCCGAATATTCACGGGCGCTCGAGACAACGAGAAGAATTTATTTTACTAAGATGGAATATGTTGGATACAGGGATGATCAGCCTAAGGAATGTACGCCGCTGCCCGGCTCAGAAGCTACGCTAGAATAGCCGGCTTTCGACGCTGAAAGCGGTTTGGACAAGCCTTCGTACACGGAGATGTTAACATGTGCCGAGAATTTACATCTCTTTAAACCATGTAAGTGAAACAGATGATGAGCAATTTCACTACCGCCGCCTGTCGGTGTCGCATGAGCTGTCGTGATATGCTACCACCAACCCAAATACATGCTGGCTCCGTAGATCGAGATAGCCAGGAAATGTCAACACCTGCTATTGCCGAATAAGTCAGAACACCATTAGGCAACTGCCTACTGAAGCTGGACCGAAAAATACCAACGAGAACAGAAGCAGCGCAAGAGAAAACCAGAGGGCCAAGCAACGCCGGAAAGCAGGGGTCTTCGGCTCTCGAACGGTGATTGCACTGTTCAATAGCCGTATCACGGCCGATTGATCCGATCTCCTAGCTGGTTCAGACCTCGACCTCGGCAAATTCTCATCTCTCCTCTTGGCCAAATCAACTGAGCTCAAGCCATGAGTATCTTTCAGTGTCGGGTCAGCCCCTGCGGCTAGTAAGCATCGCGCAACCTCTACTCTCCACATTTGCGCTGCCAACAACAGCGGCGTCTTCCCCCCTCTGCCTACCGAGTCACGATCTGTCCCTGCATGCGCAAGTAGTAGCTTGACCACTTCAACATGACCATTCTCCGCTGCCAAACATAAAGGCGTATCGCCATCAAGGCTCTTGTGGTCAGCATTGACACCCTCGTGTGATAACAACGCTTGTACAGTTGCCACATGTCCTTGCGCCGATGCCCACGTCAATGGCGTTCGACCAGAGACATCCTGATGGTTGAGGCTCACATCAAGGTCCGCAAGCAGCGTCCTCACCACCAAGCATGTCCGTTCCTGCTTGCTGCTGACAACGGGGTCTGGCCAACCAAGTTTGTTGACTGTCGATCAAACTTTTTCAAAGCACTCAATTCGACAGCCAGCTCATTCTCAGGCTCGGCTTTTTGTGTGCCGACCGCAAGAAGCAGTTGAACAACACTATCGTGTCCTGACCCAGCCGCGCACAGCAGTGCCGTTCGGCCGAAATTGTCCTCATGAGCCGTATCGATGCCCGCTAGAAGCAGAGCTGTAACCAACTGATGATGTCCTAACGATGCAGCTATAATCAGTAGAGTTCGACCGCGCTCATCGTATTGATGGTACTCGTATACGAAGAGATTAAGGATGCGGCGGCACACTCGCATGAGGCAGTCGACATCATATTTGTCTAGGCATTCTGCGATCTTCAAGAGGATTTCATCCGGAAATTCGACAAGCGACAACATTTGAGATGCGTTAGTGGCGGACAATTCTGAGAAACTGAGAGAGAGAGGCTCCGACGGCCGATGCGGATAAGAATACGTTCTCCTTGTAACGGAGAGTAAGGGCCCACATGAGATCCCAAGTACCGTGTCTCGCTATACCGTGTGTACTGTGGTCGTGTCTCTCAGTGCCTCGCTGTGACCATCCCCCGTATCAAGCTCGTCGCAATTCCAAGCGAGGCACACCAGGATACGCCATACTGATATGTATGCTGCATTCTATCATGCTCCTTAAGGAGATTTGATTTCAGTAAAAACCGAGCGAATCGCACCCAGGCTAAAGGCAATATACAAGGCTTGTCACACTTTGGAAAAATAACGGAGGAGAACTTGATAAACAAATCCGGCTGCGTCTGATTCAGACTCCCGCCTCGTCTGCTGGCACCTGGCCAATGACCCATAGACATGCAGCGCTGCGTTGTTTTAGCATCTGCCCAATAGTAAGCAGACACAAGCTGATACATCGAGCTGATACATGCGTACAATATGCATATGCATGTCCAGATCTGAGCTGACTTTTTTGATAATAAACGCTCTAAAGAAACTTACCCCTCACTAGTCCCCCCATATCCTGATTCTTTAGATGGCAGCACATCGAGACCTGGGGTATGATTTGCCTGCCCGCATCTGCTTTAGCTACCAGTCTTATACCCTGGTGCTGTGACAAAACAACAATTTCTTTTGTAGGTTAGGTGGTCAAGCATCACCAGCGCCGGCCTCAGTATGTCTACGTGCGGAACATGTTTGCGCGTATTCCCAGCTGGCTGGCAGTCGCGGCAGCAACACATGGACGCGACTGGCCACTATCCTCCAGACTTTGAGTGTGATACGTGCGATCGGTACTTTGGTAGTCAGCATGCTGTTGACCAACACATGACTGACCTGGGCCATTGGGCTGAATCCTCCGAGGCGGATGAGCCAGATTACGAGTGTGACGACTGCAACGCGAGTTTTTATGATGAAGAGGACCTTCGCGACCACGACGTCAAGGAACACTTCTACTGTGACCCTTGTGATCGCTATTTTCAATGTTGGGGCAATATCAATCAAGTAAAGCATCCGTCTGACCTCTGCTGGCTTTCTGGCTGATGTGGAATAGCACCTCCATAGCAAGATTCACCGCAATAGCTCCATCCGATGCTTTTTCTGCAAGACCGAACATGGAACGGCTACCGGGCTGGTTCATCACCTTGAAGGCGGCTTTTGCTCAAAGGCCCCATTGAGTCGTGATACACTATATGAGGCAGTACGAAGGCGCGATCCTAACGGTATTATCTCAAAGAAGCTGCTTACTTGGACAGGAAGCACAAGCTACGAGGCTACTGAGAAGGCATCGAACTCTGCTGTCGATGCTTACCAATGCTACCTATGCGCACGTCTCTTCGGCAAACTTGCATCACTGAATCAACACCTTGGCTCCCCTATTCACCAGCGGAAGCTCTATCACTGCCCAAATAGGCGCTGCAATCGTGATTTTAAACCTCTCGCAGCTGTTATAAATCATCTAGAGAGTGAGAGTTGCGATTACATGCGTTTTGAGGCAGTACAGACGAACGTTCAGCGTATCCTTGATCCCAACCGGATGATACAAGCATAAGTGCTGCAATCACTGAGATAGTTATAGTTAGAATATCTCGATGAGGAATAAATGCTGAGTTCTCTTCTTCCTCAGCTCTCGATGTTGCCTGCAAGTCTAGTTTAGCCAATCTCTGACAACAGTCGCTGAATTTCATCAGTGAGCAGAAGTGCCATGCTCCATGCTCCATGTTTCCGCCTGCACCAGGTGGCGAGGGTGTTGAAGTGCAGTCCACCTAGCTAGTTCGGCCGTGCCGAACGCCATCAATTATCCTTTACGTCCATGCTGTGAACCTCCGCATCAGCAGCATTCCCCTTTTTACCCTCAAAATTGAAGTGTTGACATACATGGCGGCTACTGGGCGAGCCTGATTGGTGTCACGTACTCCACCACTCGTGTCACCGCATAAGCTGAAATGCAATATGCAACCAGGAAATGCAGTGTAGTGTCTGTCATTTTGGGCGCTCGTAATCATTTGTGATGTCATGGACTCTGTTTTGTGGCAGGAACTCGGCAACCGGACCGCTTCCAATTTCGTAGCCTTCTGACACTACGGATTTGATGACAGTACCATATTTGGACAATCATATTTTCACAGTTCGCAAAGAACTTATGATATTTGGGTAGAGAAAATATAGACTGTGGATTTGGTGGCGAAACTGCTCGAGAGTGTGCCAGTGACCAGCTTTCAGAGCTGGACTCCTGAGTGAAGAAGGCCCTATCTTTCGCCAACCCTGGCCAGACACGCATATGCATGTTTCAGAGATTATGTGTACAACCGACGGGCTCCATGGCTATGGAGGGGAGCATTGCGGGAAAATGTCACAGTACTCAGCAAAAATACCTCGATACTCATCGGAGTTCGTAATTTGGCATACCAGCTTACAAGTTACATACGAATGTTATGAAAGGCCAAACTTCGCCACTTGTGTCATGATTGTGGGATCGAGAGACGAAGGGCAAGCGGCTAGACAAGTGCATCAAGACTTCGGCCACCGAAAGCTATTGTAGGAGGCCTACCACTATACTCTTTATAGCGATGGGCTTTTATACGCAGAATGCAGCCCAACTCCCTGAGCCTAACACCATAACAAGGTCTGGGTCATATCCCTTTGACTTTAGATGCCGGTGGTAGAGTGCTCCTAGGTAGAAATAGTCGGCAGGGGAGTGACTTTTCGCCTACAAACCAAGACGTGAGTGTGCTGCAGAACCAATTCAGCAACGGCACTTCAGAGAAAGTCGAAAGTTTAGTCTCCTTTTATCAGTATTTGTACTATAGGCTTAGTATTCACCTTGCTAAAAACATGCTGCCTTGATCTCGAAACACAAATGGTAAGAGGAGCGGAAGGCTTGGAAGGCAACGTGGAGGGGAGAGCGGCCACGGGGAGGCTAAGAAGCCATGTAAATTCTTCGAACAGACACAAACCTGCAGATACGGTTTATCTTGTCGGTTTTTCCATGACCTTTCGTCGGTGGCTGCCGGCAAATGCTTAGGTAGGCGTCGCAATTCTACTGCGGAGGAAACAACCGAGCAGTCGCAGGCCAGGGCGGATTACAATTCGTGGAAGAGGATTATCAAATACTGGCCGCTGCCATGGCCCTTTCCACCGCCCTGCGAGAGCTCCTCAAAGCGAGAGCAGCGCGCCCGACTGCACGAGGTTGAGAGAGTGGCCATTAATGTCGATTGGAGAAGCTTCCGGCTTGTAAACACAGCCTGGTTCAGTGCCTCACGTGACGACAAGGCATCAATGCCTCATCCGTTGAATTTGAAGCCTGACGTGATGACATCCTGCAGCAATCCGAATCATACTTGTGTCGCCTGATTGAATTACGCATCCAATGCCAACCTTGGCTATGTCTGCCCCGCAACCGCCCGCTGACCGCAAAAGCTTCCGTGTTGCTATCCTTTGTGCTCTGCCTCATGAGGCCGATGCTGTTGCCTTGCTTTTTGATCAGTTTTGGGACGAGGAGCGCGGTACTTACGGCCGAGCCAATGGCGACAATAATACATACAACACTGGCCGTATCGGACAACACCACGTCGTTCTAGCTGTTCTTCCCCACATAGGCACCAGCAGCGCAGCGGCTACAACGGCCAGTCTGCGGTCAAGCTACACTAATCTTAGGCTAGCCATCCTCGTCGGTATCTGTGGCGGTGTCCCCCGCATCAAAGACGATAATGTATTCCTAGGCGACGTCGTAATCAGCCAGATCATTATTCAGTATGACTACGGTAGGCAGTATCCTAGCCACTTTGCCATAAAGAGCACGATCGAAGATAGTCTTGGGAGAGCCAACACCGACATTGGAAGTTTGCTTGCAAACCTTGAAATAAAATTCAACAAAGCCAGGCTGCAGGCAAAGGCTTCAACGCACTTAAAGCATTTACAAGCAGCCACGAAGCATTACTAATATCCCGGAATGGAGAATGACACCTTATACGATCCGAAATATACGCATAGGCATCAGAAGGGATGCAGCGTATGTGTCAATGACCCTAGCGCCTTCTGCGAGTCAGCTTCTAGGGCTTTTTGTGTGGAAACTGGATGTGATTCCACTTCTGTGGTTGCGCGAGAGCGCTTTGCAGGTCTTGTCGACGGCGGGGACTTCATCCCAGGGATTTTTATCGGCCGAATTGGTTCGGGCAACACAGTCATGAAGAGCGGGGAAGACCGGGATCGCATCGCCGCTGATAACGACCTCATTGCATTCGAGATGGAGGGTGCGGGAGCGTGGGACCAGGTTCCGTGTATCGTTGTCAAGGGCATTTGTGACTATGCGGACAGCCACAAGAACAAAAGTTGGCAGGATTTTGCAGCCGCTACGGCAGCGTCTGTGGCAAAGGCCATTCTCGAACGATACCAGGTCCACGATGAAGATCGAGAGACTACCTTGAAGAACAGTGGGATTTAGTCTTTTGTCTCTGAATTCATCAGCTAATGTACGGGCAGATCAAGGTTATTCGAACGGACGCGGCGTTGGTGGTAGTTGGATGATGCAGCAGGGTGATGCAGCGCCTTTCAAAAAGAGCCAGTCGGTCCCGCTAGGTAGTCTGGCTCATTCAGACACTGCCAAATTTCTGGAGAGAAAGGAGGAGACAGGTGAAAGGAAGTGGGAGAAGATACAACGACGTCGGAAACGAGCACGTTGTTGTTTCAATTGCGGATCGGAATGGCATTGGGAGGAGACATGTCGGGAAGTCTGTGGTAAATGTATGGCCGACTCATCCTCATACTCACAAAGGCTTTGCCAATAACACCGCCTAGGTCTTTATCCGTCTCACACAGCGACCTGGTGTGGTCACCCAGTGCGCTGCCTCGAATGTGCGTCTTCAACCTACTCGATAAGTATGAGGCCTACTGACAGTCCCCAGGTGGAGAACAAGGTCACATAGCAGAAGATTGTTCGGATGACGCATAACCAAGCGTCTTGCTCGTTTCAATCTTCGGGTGGTCAGAACAACTCACGGCGAACCGGGGAAGACGACGAGAATGTTGGCAGAAACGTGGAAGTGGACAAATGAGGAGTAAGCGGTCTTCCCTCGAACGTAATGGGGAGCTAATGGGCTATATCATTCGAGCAGAAAACACTGAGCAAGGAAGGCACTAAGTAGTTAAAGACAATTTGTTATCTTGTAGCTTTAGCTTGATAATTAGGAATCAAGTGAGCGAGTCATAAGAATGCATGCCTGTGTGACTATTTTCTTTTCTTTCTACTATATCTCCGTCTAGATGTTGGTGTCCGTAATACTCGGCTCTTATTTTAAGAGCGCTGACTTAATAAGTCCCTGGGAAATCAGGTAAATAAATATTTATATCTTCTAAAAAAATGGTCTAAGTAAATATAGGTAGGAAAGGAACATCCTAGTACACACTCTATATCCTAGCTAGATCCTTAAATATGCCTATAGTAGTAACGGTTACACTACTATCGCTCTATGTCAATATACATGGTCTTCTCAGCGTAGCTGATGGCGACGCTGGAGACTTTGCAGACGCGCCACCGCCAGCCTATCCTCGCGGTCTGCATATGCCTAGCGACCGTCACGACAATGGCAAGACGGACGTTGCGGATATGAACATTTTCCCCACACGGGCCGAAATTTTCAGTGAAGTGGTCGAGTTCCTCCCATCCACCGATCCAGAGCAGCCCCATTTCCTCACAGACAAGTCCCAGCGCCACATCGACACGCTCTTTCGTCTCCTCCGGCAGGATACGTTTGGGGAGCTTAAATATGTCCTGGCAAGCACCCTGCGTGGTTTCGAGATACACATTTTGTTTAGTGGCCGCCATGGTTTGGAGGCAGATATTTTGTTGTCTCAACTCCCAACTCTTCGAGGCAAGTCCTCCCCCGAGAGAGGATGGTGGGAGGACTCGCGACGACTTGCCGAGGGTTGTGCTCGTGTCGTTCATAGCGATCCATGAAGGCCGCGCGCAGCATCTCAATTAATGAATAAATAAAGCTCGACATGCTGGTATACGTGCGGACAGGGGGAGTAAAGTACTAGCAACTATCATTCCGAGACTTGTAGGAATGACGCCCACGATCCGCAAGACCATGCGAGCCGAGTGGGCGGCTTCATGGGAAACAGCCAAGCACGGAAGAGAGCTCTTCCGACTTGGGGTTAAACCGGGGAAAGCGACACTCGACTTACGTCGCGGAACGCACAGAGCCATCAGTTCTGTCATTACGCAAATGCGCAGCGGCAAGATTGGTCTTAATGCGTACCTCCACGCCATTAACAAAGCGGACACTGATAAATGCCCATGCGGCTATAGACCTTAAACCGTATGACACATCCTGCTTAAATATAGAAACTGGACAGAAGAAAGATAGAAAATGTGGGTAGGTAAATACCTATGTGTTGACATTAAGCGCATTCTCTGTAGCTCGCCAATGGCAGCACAGGTAGCAAAAATGATCCTGAGGACGGGCCTACTAGGACAATTTCGAGCAGTCCCGTCTACCGTACTTAAATATATAGCGTAGACGAGTGACTTTAGTTATATAGAAGCTGAGGAGGGCCAGGAGAGGCCTGACAAGTTCAAAGACATAGAATAGATAGAATAGCTATAAGTAAAGAGCAACTATAGGTCCTGTCGTTTAACAGGGAAGAGTCTCCCTAGTAGGAATAGCTTAACAGGCGAATTCTTCCTGTAAGAGAGGCCGATCCCCCGGATTGTGGGAGCAATTTGTGTATAGTTACACGCTGCATAGCTGCTAGAAGGCGGCTGGGATAGTCTATGAATTAATAAATAAATAAATAAATAAACATTGATGAGGCTGTTGCTGGTACGCAGATCGCTAAAATACTGGTACCTGGTAGGCACTGGCAGTGGTTAAGTGTGGGCTGCTGGCACTTGCTGCGCGCTGGCAACTTAAGCTTATAAGCTGCTAGTATCTGGCAGGCGCTAGTAACTTATTAACCTAGTTGCCAGTATAGAGAGCTAGGCGTTAAATTTAGTTGCTGGTACCTATAGGCGGGCTACAGATGGTGTTGCCAGTATCTATTCTAGGTCCTCCTGTTAGTTGCTAGTATAGTGAGCTAGGCGTTAAATTCAGTTGCTGGTACCTATAGCGGGCTACAGGTAGGTTGCTAGTATGTCCCCTGAGTGTGTGCCTAGTTGCTAGTACACGGTTATGCGCTGGGCGTCAGGCCTAGAAGTCTCGGAATCATAGTTGCCAGCACTTTACTCCCTCTGTCCGCACGTATACCAGCATGCCGAGCTTATTATTTATTTATTTATTAATTCATAGACTGTCCTAGCCGCCTTCTGGCAGCTATGCAGCGTGTAACTATGCGTAAGTTGCTCCCACAATCCGGGGGATTAGTCTCTATTGTGGGAAACTATGCTTGCTAGGCGGTTCCTGTAAGAGAGACTCTTCCCTGTTAATTGACAGGATCTATAGTTGCCCTTCGCTTATAGCTATTCTATCTATTCTGTCTCTTTAAACTTGTCAGGCCTCTCCTAGCCCTCCTCAACTTCTATATAACTAAAATTACTCGTCTACGCTGTATATTTAAGTATAGTGGACGGAACTGCTTGAAATTATCCTAGCAATCCCGTCCTTAGGATCATTTTTACTGCCTGCGCTGCCATTAACGAGCTATAGAGAATGCGTTTAATGTCAACGCATGGGTGCTTGCCTGCCTATATTTTCTGTCTTTCTTCTGTCCAGTTTCTGCATTTGAGTAGGATGTGTCATACAGTTTGAGGTCCATAGCCGCATGGGTATTTATCGGTGTCTGCTTTGTTGATGGCGTGGAGGTACGCATTAAGACTAATCTTGCCGCTGCGCATTTGCGTAATGACAGAACTAATAG